GCTAGGCTTCTTTAATGACATCTTTGCCCAGCGACACTGCACCATGAACAGCAGACCAACTTGGGGACAGGTTTGACTGCTGAGTAAGCGTGTTGTACAGAAGTGAATGTATGGGGCAAGAGACCTAAAAACCAACCTATCCACCAGGCCAGTGTTGGTGAAGAAAGAGCTCATGTTAATTAATGTTTATAACGTGATTGGGGATCCCCAAAATGAAAGAGACTATTCAAAATCCCCAAAGTATTATTATCATCACCAGCAGGAATAATGTTTTGTTTTGTTTTTAAAGAAGCTATTATTAACCAGTGCCTACTATGTGACAGGTATTTTCACATACTTAATCTGACTTAATTCTTTAAATCACCCTATGTGGTAGTTTTGGGTTTTTTATGTTGTTTTGGGGGGTTAAGTGGAGGATAATCCTTACTGTTACAGGTTAAGAAAATTCAGCAAAATTAACTCACTTGCTACACAGTGGCAAAACCATGATTTCAAATTAGATTTTGCCTCTTCCAGTTTTCCTTAAATTCTTTCTATATGTAAAACAAGATTTTACTCAAAGATGCTTATGGCTTTGGGGGGGCAGTAAGTCTTTTTTTATGGAAGTATATTTTACAATCCAGGAAACACACAGATCTGAAATGTATAATGCAATATAAGTGGACCTCTAAACCCACACCCTATCAATAAAGGGACATCTCCATTACCCCTGAAAGTTCTCTGGTGCCCCTTCACTATGGATGCCCTTGAAAAAAAAAAAGAAACAAATGAAATGAGCTACTTTCTTTTGACCAAGACAGTCTTTTTACTACCTTGGCAGTAAGGTTATGCCCCTGATGTCAATCCCTGATGGAGGTACAGTGAATTGAATTATTTGATGGTAAAGGAGAATTTAGTTAAAATTCTAGACCCTGGTGGCTCCATCCACACTAAACACAGAGACTTCTCCAAGGGACACAACTATTGTGTCTAGGTTATGATGAATAAACATTACCATCTTGGTCTCTATCATGTTTCAGAGAACAGACTGTCATACTCCTCCACATATAATCTTATTTAATTAATACTCTCACAGTAATTATCTCCATTTACAGCTAAGAAATACAGGGCTCAGAGAGGTCAGGTAACATATTTAAGAACACACAGCCAGAAAACCAGCTGCCTTGACATTCAAATTCAGGTCTGATTTTAGAGGCCTTTACAGATGGGCAAAGTTTAAAGCCCAATACTTTAATGGGCTGGTTATATTCATTCAGCAGAGTACTTTGTCTACAAAGTGCTAAATGCTGTGCTCAGTGATAGGAAAGAAGATACAAAAATGAGCAAGATACAGACTTACACTGGAGGTTCTCCAGCATCATGGGGAGACCACATAAACCAAGATGAGGAGCAGGATTCCAAGAGGGAGAAGGCCTGTGTGAGGCTGGGCCTTGGGAAAGGAAGGCCTCATCAAGATGCCAGGAAGATGTCTTGAGCCAGTTTACATCGATAAGTGGAAACTGGCCACCTCTGAAGGGGTTAAGGTAAAATGACTGATGCTAATACAATGGCATGGGCATGCTTTAGGAAAATCAATTAAGTCGGATAGTTAAACCCCACAAAAGTGCTATATTCACTGGATTCTGTGACTATTACCCCCACTCTTCAAAAGAGCTGAGAATCAACACCAAAAAAACAGCCCTAAAGGATAAAATTTACCACAAAGTCCATGCCCTAAGCCTATGCAAGTGATTTTCTGGAAAAACCCAAGCCCCTTTTCTTACAGTCAGTGATGCTTTCCTTTCTCAGTGGAGTTCATACCATTCGTGTGATGATTTCTCAGTTTTGCAGCAGCAAATGATAAGGGAGAGCAGGTGCAGAAATGGCAGTAAGAAGGCGCCACCGAGGTAGAATGATTTGAGATTTGTGATGATTCAAGAAAAAAAAAATCAACTTCTTTTAAGATATCATTGTATATACCACAGTATAATATCTTGCTCAACTCAACAGGTATCTCAGACACACCGCTATGTGGCAGGCCTTATCGGAGGCTTGGCAGAAGATGAACATGAAGTCTGGCATCACCCTATTTAACTCACTAGGAAAGAAAGGTGTGGAAATTGGGACAGGAGGAATGTCAGCTACAAGGGTCTCTGCGCAACTGTGTCAAGCAGGAAGGGCAGGCAAGTAATTTGTCACTAAAGAGCAAGACATTTAAGCTCTCCGTGCCTCAGTCTCCAAGACTGCACAACAGGGACAAGAGTAGACCTTTTCAAGGGCAGGTTGAAGAGCGACAAAGCTAACAGAGTAGTATCGGATTCTACTATTATTCGTAGCATCTACCATTAGCTGGAGACTAATGCTAGCTGTTATTACCTCTATAACTCAGTACCTGCTCGGTTCCTAGATATAGCAACTGTTCAATACATATTGATGGACAAATGCATTCACAAGTGAATGAACAACTGATGTGACTGACTTAAAGAGGGGGAAAAATCAATTATGTAAGGCCTGAGCTCCTTAATAAGGCTGGCAGATCAGACAGACTGCCATGCAAATAGTTTTTAAGAAATAGGTTTGATGTTTAATGTATGCTTCAGCTACCTAAGAAATGAATCATTCATTCTCTAGGTCTCCTGCCCAAGTGACCTGCCATTTTAAATGAGCTTAAAGAAAAGAAATGAAGGGATCACAAAGAAATTATAGTATATCTCATACTGAGAACTGGCTCACTGGCCCTACAGCCCAGAAGTTAAGCTCTGTGGTGTGGGAAACGCTGTGATGGCAGTAAGCCCCAACCACTACACACTCACCCTGCCCAAAACCAACTCCGTGGTCTTCTTCCTTAAATTATACTTACGCCAAAGAGGGCAAACACAAAAACTGTCTTTCAAAGACATTAGGGATCATAAGAGCAAAATGAATTTGAAAAAATCTAAGAGGCTACTAACACAAGCAGAGCCACTAGGAGACCTGGGGAGGGTGTTAGAAATCTAGGCCATTTTACAGATGAGGAGACTGAGGCCCAGAAAAGGGGGTGCGCACCCCAAGTCCTAACTTCAAGGGACTGCAAAGCGAGAGGTGAGCAGGCTGCCCAGGTCCCACACTGCAGCCCCCTCCTCTCAGAGGAAACAGTTTCTATTAAGCGATGGGTGGAAGGTAGCACTAACCAGAGTTAGGGTTTGGGAGGTGAGAGCCTAAAGGACGATTGCCTTAGGGAAGGGAAGAACAGGAGAACAGGAGTGGTGGGCGCACATGGTGGAAAGAAAGGCCCTCTGCGGTTTTTTGTGGGGTGGTCTCCAAACAAAGAACAATCCAGTCCAGTGCTCCTGGGAGGCAGGTGAACCCTCCCCCTTCTGAGGAAGGTACGCAAAGATCACTGCCTCCTCCAGATGTTTCCAGCTCGACAGGATTTCCCGTTGGAATGCAGGGTGGGGAACGCAGGGCCACGCAGACACCCTCTCTTTAGGGGCTGCGCCCCCGACTGGTAGCCGAGCCGCAAGGGCTCCGGCAGGGATCCGGTGGAAGTCGCGATCCAGCCGGCACCGCACATGCACGCGCGCGCGCGCGCTCACCCACCCACACCCACCTACCGCACCCTCCCCCCACCACACACTCACTCGCTGGGCTCCTTTCTTCCCCTCCCCCAACTATGATCAAAGCCAGGTGAAGGCACTCAGTGCTAAGGGTGGGTTCCCAGAGGCCTTCTGCTGGAGCGCGCCCGTCCGCTCCTGCCCGCTCCGGCTCACACTCACAGGCACACTCGCAAACGCGCAGATGCGCACACACAGGCTCTCACAAACACGCGCACATTCGTACACACACACTTGGCACCCCCAGGGGCCGGGCCGCGCCCACCGCACCGCTGGTTCAGCCCCCAGGAACGGACAGGCAGCGACATGAATGAAATCTGCCCAGAAAGACTGCATTTCAGCTCCAACCACGCAACCTCTGGCCAAACCGCCGAGTATGAACAAAGTTTTATTTCGTTTTTAGAGTCTCCAGTTACCCTTCTACCATTTCCTGTGGAAAATTGAAGCTTTGAAGTGTCTAGCGTCGGCTTTCGCAGACTGGCAGGACCGCCAGCTCCATCTCTCGAAAACAAGAGCCCCCGGCCCCACCCCCTCGGCCGCCAGAACTGCACGTTCAGACCCACCCGAGCTCCGGCCCCCCAAAACGGGGCGTGCGGGAGGGAGGGCAGAACCCGCTGGCACACACCTCCTAAATTGACGACCCTCGCCAGCACCCCGCCCCGCTCCCATCCAGCCTGGGTCCCTCTCCAGAGCTGCTTCTCAGACCAAATGTCTGCTGCAACGCGCTGCCGCTGGGAACCGAGGGCTGAGGGTGATGCGCGGCCAGAAGGGCGGGCGGGGGCTCCCCCGGCTCCGCGTCCCCCAGCAGTGCGCTCTGGCCCTCAGAAACTGCCCCAGCCAAACTTGGGACCTGTAACAGCCTCACCGTTCCACCCTCTCGCCCCACACACGCCTCTCGCCCCTGCGCTAGGCCGAGCCAACTCTCAACCGCGCAGCCTTTCCGGCCTCTGCTTCACCCGCGCGCCCACAGTGCCCCCGCAGGGTGCTGGAAAGGGGCGGTGGAGGCAGGAGTGCGCCTCCTCCCGAGTTGCAGCGAGCCCAACTTGAGCGCCGGGGAATTTGGCATCTTCAAGGTCAAAACAAACAGGCTCTGACAGAGTATGCACTGGGCGCGAGAGGTTGCAAACCTGCCCCCCAGGGGGTATGGGGTTCTTCCCACCGCCCGCGGTTGGCAGACGCCACACCGCCGCGCACCCGAGCCCTGACGGCGCGCTCCCGACGTGGGAACCTCGATGAGTCGCGTGCAATTCGCGGCTCCCCACGGCAAGCGAGAAGTGACAGGTTTCCCTGCGCCTCCAGCTCGGCCATCGCCCGAGAGTCGCGGGACAGCTGCCGGCGGCCGGAAAGACGCGGGAGGGGGGCGCCGAGCAAACTTGGGCGAGCTGGCTGCGTGGGCCGGGAGGGGGCGGCACCCGCGCGGCCACTTACCGCTGGCGTTCTTCCCGCAGATGAGGTGCTGGTAGGGCTGCAGGAGACCCCAGATCTCCGAGTCGTTGTTGACGGTGTGCTCCAGCGTCTCCACCGTGAACTTGGGGGCTTCGAGGAGCGTGTGGAGGTGGTGATGGTGGTGGTTGGCGGCGGCGGCGGCGCCGGCGACCGG